TTCAGAAAACAGTTATTATTGTGTCTAAGGAGAGAATGCCATGGCTTTAGAAAATAAACATGTATGAAAATATTGATGTGATTAAAGTTATGGACGGCGAGACCATATCTAAGTTAAAGAACAATTGGAAGAGACACAAAAGGGCATTCTCTATCATCAAAGGCGTCCATCAAGAATGGACATTGTCCTTGTTGAATTAGTTGCTAAGCAATTCACTAGGTGCATTCAGGGAAAAGTCTTACACAGTATTACTTGATGCGAATATAAAAGAAATAACTTCAAAAGTAAAAATATGGAAAAGCTAGGCTAGAGGATGTAGAAGTAGTGGATTAGAGTGTTGGTAAGAAGCTGTAGACTACTTATATTGAGAATAAAATGAGATAACCAATAAGTGCACAATTAGAAGAAGAGATAGAGTTATAACAAATATAGGAACACAGTAGTAGGCCTAAACAACCTTGGATGCAAGCACATAGGAAGGATATGGAAGTGGTTAACTTAACTATGGAGACAACCTAGCGAACCCCAACATTTTGGAATCAGGACTTTACTACTGATGTTACCTAAGTTAATATCATTAGTCTATTCATTTGATTCTACCTTAACTTATGCTATGTGATTCCAATAAACTAGTTATAGCCTTGTTTACCTCTGTTCTTTCACCCGATGTCATCTTATGTTCATAAAGTGTTATCATATGCTTAGCCTTTAGATTAATCCCACTAACTACTTCTCATAGCTAATTAATATCTTTCAAAAACTTTACTGTTCCTAAACTTCTTTCCACTAATAATAAGAAGTTCTTAAAGTATATCTCGTTGACTTCGTCATTCCATCACTTTCTTTAGAACACAACTTTTCCTATAGATTCTTCAAGTGTCTGATTTGCTACTTGCATATCCCTTTCCATTACTTTTCTGTTACAATTAGGCACTACTTTCACAGAATTTTACTTCTTTTCTGGATTCCAACTTCTTCCTTTTCTAATTTCTATGCGCAGGTCTGATATTCTTACCACCCCGTTCTTGGCCTCTTATTCATTTCAGTATGCTTCAAGTTTCAAATGCAAATATCTAGAACCACAAAGAAAACACATAATATGTTACCATATTCACTAATATGTTGCCATATTCACAGTCATGCCATCGTGATAACTTCTTTCAGATTTAAAATTTAACCTTTCCATCTTTTGAATGGCATCTTTATCAGTTTGCCAAACCTCCATGGCTACTTAAAAACATTGCTGAAAAAATATTGAATTAGACCTGTCGTTACTTAAAAAATCAAAGCCAGTACACTCCAAGTCTCAAGGATACTTTGATTCTCTGAGTTTGTGAGAAGTCCCCCCAAGCGTGAGTATCTTCCCCCATTTTATTCGTTACCATTTTGAGCTGCTCATAAAACATAATCCATAATCAACTAAGGATCAAAAAGCTCACTGTCAGCACTCAGCAGTATTCAGACAATCTTATACATGTACGTCACTGATCTATAATGACTAGCACCTCACATTGTAAGCAAGAGTATCAAATTGTTTGCCTATTACATCTCCTAGGAATTCAAGTGTTCTTCCATCTTAAATGCAGTACCTCCCTACTCCCATTAGAATAGTAGCTATTCAGACCTCAGTTCTCAACGTTCTCTGCATCCTGTTCTTCTTTTAGAGCAAGAGATCTCTGCTTCCTTAAGAGTGGTAGCTCTATACTTCCTTTCAAGTAATATCTCTTTGCTTCCTTTAGAGTAGTAGCATTATTCGGGCTTTTTCAGCGTCTTCCTTCACTAGATCCTTTATTATTATGGGGGAATGTTACTGAATCAGTAGGCACAGCCACAGATGTAATTACATCCGTCAATGGTTTGGTTTTGTGTAATGAAGAACCAATTAGCTTCCTATGAGCTTGAATTGGAGATATGTTAAGCTATGCACACTAATTCTGCTTATCTATTTATCTGTCTACAGAGGATACCTCAGACACTTTCACATATTTGGTCAATTAAAATCCAAAAGTGCCTAAACAAACTATGTAAGCGCATTCATATAAGCCAAGAGGGAATTTTAGTACCTCCAATAGTTTGCAATGTGAGCAAAATGCATAGATGCTCATATGAACCAAAGAAACAAAAGAAATCTCTTGCTTAACAGTTAACACCAATAGAATCTTAGTGATGCAAATGATAAGTTGTTTAACAATAAAGTACATTGCTTAACAAACCATCCCAAGGACACCATAATCTCAGATAACTGTTCTAGAATTCAGGTTAGTATCAAAGCAAGTTATGAATAGGCTAATAGCACGGAACCAGCCAGAAAAAGTGAAATTACAATTGAACGCTCAGATAATGAACAAGAAGCTAAGTTCAAAAGTAAATCTATAAAAACTTTCTATGTTAAAATTGACATAATAAATTACTCCTGACATTAAAAGTACATTTAAGAATTTCTTATGATAAATGAAGGAAAATCTTCAATAACTAAATGTTGAAACTATGCTTCTGACCCCTCACTTAACTAGATGGGCCACTACATGAGATGAAAATTAAACACAGCAAACAACAAGGTTAGAGTTCTTTACTTAGGAAGAACCAATAAAATCCTATGTCAAAATTGACCCCCTCAGGCCCAGATCTATATTCCCCAAAGAACAGTTAGATGAATGGGCTACTGTAGCTTCTGAGAATCTCAGACAAAATGCTCAGTGGGGTATTCCTGCTCATATCCATTGTAATCATAATATAGCCTCTCTCCGGGAGATATATCACGACAAGTAACCAGTAAAACACGACATTCACCATCTACATTATACCTGACACATTTTAGGTTCTGCTTCTTCCTACCCTCCCTGCAATAAAAGGGGAGGTTCCAAGCATAACTAAGTTTCAGTTTTCGGTTAACCAATATTTAGCAACATAAAAACTTTCCAAATAGAAAATTTCAGAAAAGTTAAAATTAAATTTTATAGCCTACTGACAGACAAAGCAGAAAATATTAAGGAATGATGCAACTGAATAGGGGGAAACTTGGATAGAGTTATTGGTGATAAATGAATTAAAAATGCAATCAATCTTATAGATAACAGAGATCAAATGTGTGCTTACGGAGAATGGTTGTTAATTCCATTGATGAAGCGTGCGATGTTCCCACGTTTATCTGGACATATCAGTAGATTATTTGATGGGTTTTCTGTAAGCAGAAGGGTCATCATGCTGTCACAATCATCGTGTTCCCGATTTCTTAAGTAATCAACATCACCAGTGTACTCAGTGATGAAAGTCATGTCTTTTATGTCTCCATCAGCCTGTACGGTATAACTGCACTAACCAAATTAGTATTTAATTTTCATCCATCTATACTTCTATCAACAGTTAGTCTATGTAAATTACCCTTCAAGCGAATCAAAAACGACTATGAGAGGGGGGCATTCTCCTCTTTTGTACATGATTCTGCAAAGATCTAATGTTTCTTTATCTTCTCTTGCAAGGACCTAAAGATAGTGGATATAAAATTATGTTGCACCGAATATGGAGAACAAAGAGGCACATAAAACTTGGGAAAATTTTTAACCTGCATTCCTCCCTTCTCTAAAATTGCTTGGTTAGCAGATTTAGGAGCCATTCCCGGCATATAAGTTAAATCATTGCTGAACTTCATATTCAGCGCTGTCAATGCTGTCGCAAGAGTACCCATCTGTTCAAGTCTTCGACGTGGGTCTCTAGTTGGAATGTATGGCAATATTCTTCTCCTCCTCTTGTACATAGCTAAAGGCATAGAACGCCTCCTACGCTTCTTACAATCTAAATGACAGAATAAAATGTTCACATTAGCTAAAGGATGCAAGAGAAAGAAGGTTATGCAGTGCAGTAGCAAATAGGGGGAAATGTAACATCATTTCTAATTTGAAAGAACATAAAGATATTTTCAAATCATAGAACAGCCAACCCCGTCCCACCCCCCACACCCACCCAAAAAAGAAAAAAAGACACCCCCTCTTAAAAGCAAGAGCAGATAATAAATGTAAGGGTGACAATGTTTGCAAATAAGTTTCAATATTAGCACAATTATTTATTGTTATCACTCATGCCCAAATACATGCACCCACACACACACACACAAACACACACACCATGAAAGAGTTTAAACAGTATCATGATGTTCTGTTATCAGTCTCGTAAGACCATAAAAATGTTGACTACGTCACATTTTCCCCTGGATATGATCACGTACAAGGATTGCCACATACACAAACACACATAAAATGATATTTGCCTTTATTTCTCCAACAACCACAGTTGCCTACATGACAAAGCATGGAAGAAACATAGAATTTATATAACAACGAGAATTACCTAATATGTTGTTTCATTAAAGGAAACTAATACATTTGGTAGCTTCTGGAAATAAAGGTGATGATTGTGCTCAATCCAGGTCGACATCATGAACATCGACTACCAATCTAGTCTTCATGATTGGATATTTAATTTATACCAAATGTATTAATTATGTATAGGATCACATATATCAGGATCATTGTTGTTATCATCATCAAGATTACTTTAGAGGTGCCATGGAAGAACCATTAAAATTCTAGATATTCAAAGAAATAAAGATATAAGACAATTATCACAATAAATGTGAAAGGATTAAACTAAAATCAACTTGATGAATGCCCACTGGCAAAGAATAGAGAATATCAATACCATAGTTGAGAATATTCTTACTAGAGATAGTTCTAAATCTAAAGTTTCTGATCTTGCACACTCGCTAGCTCCCTCTCTTCATTGTAGTAATTGCCTTTCCATCTAGTAAAGTTTGTTGTCCTGATCAAATTTGCAGTACATGACTTCAGGAGATGCTTGCATAGATAAAAATCATTCACGACTCTAACAAGAGAAAGTTCACAAATAAAGTTGGCTGCATTGATGGGTTTCCTAAATACTTTGCTCAAAGAGATATGCTCAGTCACTCTTGTTGCTCAAAAAAGAAACAACCCCTTTGCTCAAAAAAATACGCTAAATCACTCTCAGTACTACACAATGGTTTGATATGCATTATAAACAGCATACCACATTGATGAATTCCTTAAATACTTTGCCCTTTTTGCTCTTTAGCCTTTTCTTCTTTATCAAAACTATGGGATATTCATGCTTCAAACTAGTAGTATCGGTTATCTTCCTTTTCCTGCCTTGCATATATTTTGCTACCGCTTTCTCACTATCTGAAAAGAGATCTCAACATTTACTTAGAATAATCATCACCAAATCATGTAAGCTTTTAACCACATTGGCATATAGATGGCGTTTATTATCATAACTCCATTTATAGAAGGCTCAATTACAGATTGTATGAAAGTTCCTGTATATTCCTTCTAAGATTTATAGAGAAGGGCAGAACATAGAACATAGCATGCCAGTTAGCATGTAAGAGAATCTACCATATTTTAGTTATGTAATTTATGACGCTAATTTATTAGATAGAAATGGAGCAATAACAACAAATAACTCAGCTAAAATTTCTATTTCCATCATTTGATGTATGACTCATGGAAATGAAAATGGTAAATGGAGCTTCAGACTGTATGAAAAGTTGCAAATGGCACAACTAGAATTGGACGCTATGTCGGAACGTTAACACTTAGGAGAATGATAATTGTACTACAAACCCTAAAGTACTATTGTACTAAAGAAACAGATGTGTAGGGTCCTTGCGGACACAAAATTTGCTAGGAATTTTCAACAAAGGACCAAAGAAACAGATGTGTAGGGTCCTTGTGGTACAGAAGTAGTTTGGGGTCTCTAGTATAATTATCATTGTCCTAACACTTGTTTCTAAAAACTCTTCCAAAATCTATAAAAACTGTATCATGTCAGCAATCATGCTGCAAGAAACAAATCAAACAGTCAATTTGAAAGGTGTTTCCGCAACAAATGTTACAATGTAAGAAATGTTGCATTTTCTTTTCAGCAAAGCAATTAGCCCCTCAAGTTTACTGAACCAAGAAAAAGTTCAATATCAAGAAAGCAACCAGAAGAAGAGGCAATGATGATAAATGAGTACAAAACTATAAAGAGGTTCCCACAATTTTTCTGCCATGATATAGACCTAAGAGTAGAACCAAAAGAAGTCGCTAACTTCTAGTGCTGCTTATGGGTTTTCCTTATTTGCCATCAACACATAGAGGGATAAGTAACATTACGTACGTTTGCATGCAAGAAGGCATGCAAACAGTTACTATTATTACAGTTTTCTTGGAATAATCAGCATTGCTTGTCAACTCCATTAACTACATTTCTGTTGGATACTTGACCTAATGTTCCAATACTGCAACTTGTTACATTCGTTCAAGCTTTGGAAGCGAAGACGAATTTAACCTGACCGTGCAAAATCCTATCATCTCTCAATTCTCATTAATCTGTTCATATTTGCCCGATTCCTCAAGCTACCATCTCCATCCTTAAAAACGTAATCTGATGCACGTTTCATCACACCATTTTATCTTAGCTTATTTCTCGATATATGTAATGAATCAAAAAGTCCTTTTGCAAAAGCAGAGGCGAGCTGTTGAAAAGCTTCAATAAACAAACAAATATTGTTTTTACTGAAATTATTTAGTTTTTGCAGCATGCGTAATATTGAGACCCCTATTAAAATGAACACAAACCACTGGGAAGGATAGCAACTCATTGAGATAATGATACAGCTTCGTAGTTCATATACAAAAGAAGAGTGTAAAAATAAGGGAAGATCTAATGACCATATAGAATTCTACGCAAAATAAGAACTCGAAGAATAAGAACTTACAAGATTAATTTTAACAATTCCGCTGAATTAGTTTGCTACCGATATATGCATTATTTTTTCCAAATGATTAAGAAGAATATATTTTTGGATTAAAAAAAGTCATCTTTTTTCACACAATTAGCATACATTTTGAAGAAAAAATAAGTAACATGCAGATCAATAATCATATTCATCCAAACACCGTGCATGTCAATAATTAGTCTTTTTGAGAATATTGACAAATCAATCAAGTGCAGATCAATGATCCTATTCATTCAAAATAACATAATGTCAAAACCTATCCATCTCGACAATATCATCATCAAATCAATCAAACAACAAACCTTTGAAGCCATATTGTCAACTTTTTATTAGTAAAATAAAATGAAACTAAAAAAGAAATCACCTTGGGAGGAGGACACCCATTTCCCCTCCGCCATCTCACTGATCTCACCGCTACATTTCTGAATCCGAAAAAAGTCCAAAATCTTCTTCTGCATTAACGGAAACCCTAAACCCCGCCCAAACGGAGACCAAAACTTAACAAAATCAATAAATGAAGATAAAATACCAAGAAAAATCAAACTTTCCATTCAATTTACTTTTCTTCGGTTTCTCCTCATTGCAGCTAGGGCAGAGCCAGGGACCAGACGGAACCCTAACGACGATAGGACGGAGGCAGGACATGTGAAACCCCAGATCGCACCGATCGCAGAGGAGCAGCTCGCCGTCTCGATCGCCGGAGCGGCACTGCTGGCACCTGACGTCACTGTAGTATTCCTCGGTGATGTCATCCACCGGCTTTCGTCTCCTCGCATTATCCTCCCTCAGATCGAGCGGATACTTTCCGGACGCTTTGGTTCGGCGCCCTCCCGTCCGCATTCCTCGACGGCAGACAGCGCCTCCGCCGTTAGATTCCGGGCTCGACGGCGCATAGCGATCTGCGTGGCACGACAGCAATTGTTGAACAATCTCGAGGGATTTTGTGTAATTTGGCTTTTCAGGGGTTGGGGCAATGAGGGATAGAGGTTGGGCTCGCGGGAACTCCCTCGATGAGGGAGGAGGAAGGGGCGGCGTCACGACTACAGACTGACGTGGCCGGGAGACTTGGACGTGGTTGCTACCGTACGCGGTTTGGTTGGAATTTGGAAGGACGATGCTACCCTTCGACCGAAGGAGCTGGCCCGTTCAGTTTTGGGGGTAGTTTTGGTATTTGAGAGATGGGAGGGAAACGGGAAAGGCGTGAGCTAACGGAAGTATCGGGTAACGTACAAACGTCTCTTTTGTGTTCCCTTTTTCTTTTAATTTCTTTATTTGTTTATTTTCACCTTTTTTTTAAAGATTTTTCCAGTTATTAGGAAAGGAATCTTTAGCGTACTTTAAGGTTCTACGAACAAAGTTATTAGAGCACCTCCAATTCTACTCTCCAAATTGGAATATTTCTAGAATATTCTAATTTGGAGAGGGGAAATAGGAGATTTGTTCCAACCCATATTCTCTAAAAAAAATATTTTTTTATCAAAAAAAGTCATCTAAATTAATAATGTTGTATATAATTTACATTAATAATTTTATTTTTAATAATTTATTTAGAAAAAATAATAACATTAGAAATGTGTCGACGAGAGCTTTAAAATGAACCAAGTATTAATAATGCAATATAACATATTAAAAAATAAAATCTGAAATAATAGTGACAAAACATACATCGATAGAACAAGGAAGCAAACATAAATCTCTAATACAACATACCATAGGTCGCAAACATAAACCTCAAACATAAAATATGATAACAGACAATTAAAATTTCGGCAGGTCATTATCGTTATAACTATCGGATCCATCCCGATCTCTCAATGAACCCCCATATTCATTTCTTCCTACAGAACCAGCTTCTCCCGCAAATTTAGAAAATCCTCCTTGACCTCCAAAGGGAAATCCTTGTTCGTTTTCTCCTCCTACAGCTACGCTAAGAAGCTCAGAAAATCCGCTTGCCTCTCTGGAGGAATATCCATAATCAAATGATGGAGCTCTATATTCCTTTCTATTAATTTCTTATTTTTTTGTTGATAGTAAGTATGTTCACTTTGATCGACGATCTTACTTAAAACGATCAACATAATTTGTCTATCCTCGCTTTCATGCTGAAGAGCTAATTGTTGATCACATTGTTCTACTTCTCTAGATCGCAATTCTAATTTTATTTTTTCATTTTTAAGTTTCGTTATCATCCATCGCTCCATTTTCCCCTACTCATTTCACGTTTAGCATGTTTTTTTATATTATCAGGATCTAACAATGATATTAATGTACTGCAATCTTCAAATTTGGAGGTCAAGTAGGATTTTCTATATAAATTAGAATATAAGATAGTTTGCATAAAATAACTTAGCCGATGGGATATACCCATCGGCTAAGATAATTTTAGGAGTTAAGCAAATTCAAGTGATTGATTGGAACAAAAAATTTACTTTACATATGGTTTATATATAAATTAGAATATAAGATAGTTTATATAAAATAACTTTAAAAATAATAAGGTTGTTTCCTTAGAGAGAGAGAGAAAAAAAAAGAAGAAGTCCTCATATAATTCAACCACTAATCTTTCTATATGAACAACACGATGGAGCTTCTAGTTACCTAGTAGTTAAACTTAACAATCAACCGCCTGTAGATTGAAGCCCGCAAATCAAAGCCCAAAATCCAACTCGCACAAGCCATAGGCCCACAGGCTTTAGCTCCTTGGCCACGCCCCTTGGCCCATTGGCCCACAGGCTTTAGCGAAAATATGAACGCACGAATTTTTTATGATAACGAAATGATTTTTTCGTTCAGATGGATTGCAGGGTATGGACTCGAGGATATATCAGAACTTTTGCCCTTCTCCTCGAAAAAAAACTCAAGGACGTGACTATGAGAATCTATCAGGGCTTAAAGCCAAGAATAAGGGGATGTTTGTTTGCATAAGGGGAAAGGGAAAAGTCTGTCAAAAGCATCAGTTTTGACAGATTTTCTTGCAAAAACGTTTCTTTTAGAGGCGTCTTGCAAAAACGTCTCTTTTAGATGTGTTTTTATAAGAAAGCCTGTCAAAACTAACACTTTTAGGAGGCTTTCAACCCATTTCCTCATCTAAAAGAGGCAACCAAACACGTCCTAAGAAATTTCCATAAGATACCACTAGAATATATATACATATAAAATAACGGACAAACAGTATCACATCCCGTACATATAAAAATAATGTAAGAGGCTAGGACAAGTATATAAGCGCGTAAGTTTCTTAGTTTAACTGTTACGAATTTAACATAACTGATAACTTCCAACGATACACACGGGGTTGACCGCGTCTTCCACAGGATAACTACAGCGATCTCGTTTGCAATGCATAAAATTGGTTAAAGATCAGTTCGTACGAAGTACTCAAAGTAAACGATCCCATGAAAAGATATACAAATAATGCACAAGGGAGGGATTGTAACATAAATAATGTTAGAGGCACACCACAACCCCAATCACACTCACCCCTCTCATTGCTACAGTAAACCGGGTGTTGGATTTAATCTAATAAATCTATTTGTGGGCACATATGATTAATCAATGTGTATTGCTATCTTTCAGGATAACCCACTAAAGTGATCAATTAAGTTGGGTTAATGGGTATTAAATATAATCATGGGGTTATATGTGCAGATACCAGGTTGTAATTGTGATTTATTGAGGGGCTAAATTACAAAAGTACAACATCTATAAATAAGGGGTTATGGTCCCTAATCTAGGGTTACTACATTCTCTAATTCTCTTCACCCCCATCTAAGAGAGAAATTCGGCTAAAGAGAAAACCCTAAGGTTAGAATATCCAAAACCCAAAATCAAGATCAAGCAATGGATTCAGGTATAAGCTTCCGCTCTTTTAGATTTTTGTTAATCTCTTTGAATTAATCATGGCTATATGGTTTTAGATCTCAAGTTTTATGATGTAGATCTATCAAGTGGTATCAGAGCCACCTTGATTAATTCTTAGGGATTTAAGTTTTATTGGGTTTTTGATCTTAAATCTCTGGTTAAAGATTCAATTTTTGGGTTCGAATGAACAGTAATGTTCGGTGAACAGTAACGAAAAAAATTTTTCGGGTGAAAAGTAAAGTTTTTTCGGATGAACAGTAACTGAAAAATCGCCGGTGAACAGTAACTTTTTAAAATTTTTTGGATTTTTCTTTGATTTTTTCTTTAATTTTTTCCAATTCTGGATCTGTTTTGAAAATAAAAATCAAAGATTTTTGGGTTTGATGGCGGCGGTTTCAGTTTGAAACCCTAAGGGTTCATGGCGAAAATTGAGGAGGTGGTTACCTCAAACGAACCTCGCGTTCGTTCAATTTTAACCGAGCTTCGCGCTCAACGAACCTCGCGTTCGTTCTAAGGTGAACCTCGCGTTCAACTCAGGTGAGCGTCAAGCTCAATTTTAACGAACCAGTCGAACCTCGCGTTCGTACTTCAGTCGAAACTCGCGTTCGTACTTAAGTTGAACATTGCGTTCATTTTTTTTAACGAACCTCGCGTTCGTTCCCAAGTTGAACCTCGCGTTCTTTTATCAAACGAACCTCGCGTTCGTTCATTTTCAGACGAACCTCGCGTTCGTGCTTAAGTGAGTCTCGTACTCAATACAGTCGAACCTCGCGTTCGAAGTTAAGGGAACTTCGTGTTCATTATGGTTAAGCCTCGGCTTTTCATGGGTCCACTTTGGTATACTTAATTTATTCAATTAAGTTATGGGCCCTAATTAAGCTGTGAGACCCCAATTAAGTTTTGGAAATTCAGTTGATTTTAAAAAAAAATTTTAAATCTAATTCGGTTCTTAATCAATTATTTAATTCAAATATTATGACACTAAGGTATTAAGGTTGTCTCTCACTCCAATTGATTAATTGAAACAAGAAGTTGCCAAAGTAACCTCTCTTGTGTAGGTTGTTCATAAGGAATGTGAGATGTTTGTGTGTATGCTTTTATAAATATTTAATCGGCCCAAAGGAAGGTTAATATTTATTTAGACTGTATACACATCTGCGATGATAAGCGTGTGACAATTATAAGGTTTACATGTGAATAATGAATCGATCCAAAGATAGTTTCATTATTTGACATGAGTTATTGTCAATGTTTGATCATTGCAACAAGGTATCACTTACAAGTTAATATTACTGTTCAAAGACTTGATATTAATGTTGTGCCCGATATCTTGGATGGGGACTGTCATTATTTGAATGATATTGATTATGGTTGATGTGAGCATTTTTGTTTTATTTCAGCTAATGCATCTGCTGCAACAATTTCTGCTAACATCAACTCAATTCCCATGCTAAATGGGACAAACTTCAAGGTTTGGAAAGAGAACATATTAATTGTTCTTGGCTGCATGGATCTTGACTATGCATTAAGAACTGAACAACCCCAACCTCTCAATGCGGATAGCACTCCTGATGCAAAGAAGGAGCATGAGAAGTGGGAGCGTTCAAATCGTATGAGTCTCATGATCATTAAGCGCGGCGTTCCGGAAGCCTTCAGGGGCATAGAATCCGAAGGGATTACTAAGGCTAAAGATTTCCTTGCCGAAATTGAGAAGCGTTTTGCGAAAAACGATAAGGTAGAAACAAGCACGCTTTTAGCTCGCTTGATTTCAATGAAGTATAAGGGCAAAGGAAATATCAGGGAGTACATTATGGAAATGTCTCATATTGCTTCAAAGCTTAAGGCACTTAAACTCGATCTTTGTGACGAGTTATTAGTGCATCTGGTTTTGTTGTCTCTTCCTGCACAGTTTAACCAATTTAAGGTCAGTTATAACTGTCAAAAGGAGAAATGGACTCTAAATGAGCTCATTTCATACT